GTGGACTTTAATTTTTTTGAAGTTGAAGTTTCGTTATTATCGGACATTTCAAAATGAAAAAGAGATTATCGCTATTATATAATCGGGTATCTTGTATAGTGATCATTTATAATAAAATTTAGTTTCAGGATTTGGTAGAAGTTTAGGATTATAGAATAAATTTCAGAAAATTGGAATATGTTTCAGATATCGAAAATGGTTTCAGGATTCAGTGGAAGTTTTGGTTATGAGTCAAGTTTCGATTCGTATATACTGAAACCTGAAACTTTCAGAAATGCTTCCAGAGGTTTCGATACCCATGTTTACTATACATGTAATTTAAATGTACTAGTAGGATAATAAAAATTACCGTTTATTCAAGGATCTGTAAATCTTAGATTCTAATCACTCTATTTCTATTTTTGAATTTCTTTTTAATAACGCTCCTGTCTTATAATTCACAAAATGTAAATCAGGAATGTAGTTTTTATTAGTAATTTAGAACTGCATAATGAGTGAGATAGAACATACCAGAACTTTGGAAAAGTTCATCAGTATGTCAACACAAAAATATTGCTCTTGGCTGGGGTTATTAATAGATTCTCTAAAAATAATGACTGCGGATGCTGGTGACGTACTACTGCGCATAGAATATTCTGCAGAATCACATGCGTTTACTATAGAGAAGAATAGATGACGCTTTACTGTGCACGATATCTAAACCACTCACGTGATTCGAAAAAATAATGCGAATATATATGGTAATCTTATATCACACAACCTATTCTTTGGAAAGAATTTTTCTGAAAATGCATTGCGTATTTCAGGTAATCAGTTCACATGACGAAGTTTTTATCTATGCTTTTACAGATACTATTGGGATTTCACAATAAACATTTTTGCATTCGAGAAAATAAGTTCGTTCACTGCAATATTCACCAGTATCCCATTTACCTTTTATATCATTCCATATACTTTCTTTTTTATAGTCTCCATTATATAATGGACAGAGTGTTGAACTATTAAGATTAAATCGCTCACCACATTCATCACTATCGCTTAAAGATAGATAAGAAAACTGTTCTAGCACCAACCTAATGATATATTTTTGTTTTTCTTCTGGATCATCAGATAAAATAGAAATCAGAAGTCTGGATTTCTTAGATGATCTTACCTGAGGCACAGATGATGTACTCACAGCTACTGAACTGATTTTAGAGAAATCATCTGAAAAATTGCCATTAAGACGCTTCACAGAGATGTTCTCAGCTAGTATCACAGGTTGGATTGTGGTCATTATTACACAATTTACCAGAAAAATTCCTGGTAAATTGTGATTTTTTTTGTTTAATTTTAGAAAAATGGGGAATTTCACGTTTGATAAAAAAAGGTAAAATGGCGCTGTTTCACCAATAGTAACCAATAATTGAGGATTTAAATATTGCGTTTTGGTAGAAAAATTCCAGTTAAATTGACTAAATAATGTAATCAAATGTAGCAAAAATTTAAAATTATCTTAAATTACCAAAAAAATCCTATATTTTAACAAAATCTAATTCATTTTGAATGTGAAATTGAATAAAATACTAAATTTATCAACATTCGCAAAGTCAATTAAAATACAATTTGTTAAAAACTTGCAGCAATTTTGTTAAATTTTATTCGCTAATATGCAAATTACTCATTAAAGATTATTTTTTATACATGAATTGTAACAAGATAATTCCTATTGTACAGATATTGATATTATTGTAAAGTATGCAAATAGAAATAGTAACTATTATTAAGAATTATTTCAGATAATTCAACTACTTTCTTTTTTGATTATAATTATAATTGATATTATTTCTTGCCCTTAAGCCTCTTTCCATAGCATTTCTGTTCGTTTTTGACGATTGCCCTATTTAAAAATTCATAAAATTAAATATGTTATTTAAACCACTACATTAGCAAATTTTCTTATTTGCAATTACCAAGATTGCCTTTGCTCTTGCTATTCAATCTCGATATTTTTTCTGTAATAATATCGTGTAATTCAGCTTATTCTAATAATGATTGTGATTCGTAATCTGATTGTATAATGTATAAAATAGTAAAATTATTTGTCTCTTTTCTAAAAAATCTTCAAAAAAAATAATAATTACCACTGAGATATGACTCATCATCATTGTCACGATTACTGCTCTTTAGTTTCAATTTTCTTTTTGGAATAATATCGCGTGATGCGGCTTATTCTAATGATGATCGTGATTCATAATCTAATTGTATAATGCATAAAATAGTAAAGTTATTTGTCCTTTTTCTAAAAAATCTTCAAAAAAAAAATAATAATTACCACTGAGATATAACTCATCATCATCATCATGATTACTGCTCTTTAGTTTCAATTTTCTTTTTGGAATAATATCGCGTGATGCAGCTTGTTCTAATGATGATCGTAATTCGTAATCTAATTGTATAATGTATAAAATAGTAAAGTTATTTGTCCCTTTTCTAAAAAAAAATTCTCTAAAAAAAAAATTTTTTAGATTAGAATAACTTGTCATCATCACCATTATTCAAACTTCTTTTTCTTGAATTTTTGCGCGATTTTGATAATGATACATTTTTTTGTAATGATTGCGATACTTCATCATACGTAGATTGTGATGCTCCATTATACGTAGGTCCTACTTCAAAAAATTCAGAAAAGTTATTGGATTTGAATTTTCTAAAAAAATATTAATAATGTTATAATAATTACCATTAATGTCTTCCTTATCCTTATCGCTACTCTCTCTTATAACATTATCATGTGATGTCTGTCGTGAT